TAAATAACGATAAATATGTTTAATTTAATAATAAAAAAAAAAAATCTCAATGAAATACATTGAAGGTGTTGGCCACGTGAGATTATAAGTTTACCGGATTGGTGACATTTTTTCTGCCTCATAATGTGATAAAAGAAAAAAAATTAATTTAAGAAAACACGCACACATTATTATAAAATCAATCCATTCGGCTCAAAATTTAAAACAATAATAATAATAACTATAGTTTTTGTTATTGTTGTTGCATGAACACTACATTTAATACTATAGGCAGGTACTGCGCCGACCTGTCGAAATGATTTTCGAATGAAAATAAAATTTGGTATTAAAGCATCATACGATTTTGGTTCAACGTAATGTATAAAGAATTAATGATGTTATTAATTCGGATTTTCCATGCACGACAAATTTTAACTTAAAAAATAGTTATAAAAGATGAAAACTAAAAAAACGTGGGCAAGTGGGTGTCGCTCTGCTGTACAGTCGGTTACAAGTGGGTCACTGTATAATGGATGGTATTAAATTTGAATTCAATGATATAATATCATTGTATAAGAAAAACGATTCTGAGCGGTGATGGTATGTCAGTCTATGTATAAGGCATATTATATACATATCTATGGTATTAAACAAAAAATTGACCTATAATAGGTACCTATAATAAATTCCAAATTAATCATATCACAATATCGATTAGATACTTATAACGCGTTATACATCAACAAAAACCGTGATACTATCATAGATATATAATAGTACACTTTAGAAGTTTCAAGTACCCACGAATAGTATTATTCAATCACAACAAAATAACTAAAATCGTAATTCATGGTTAAAATATGAAATTTTGTCTAAATTTGAAATTAAAATGTCTGTAAAAAATAAGTGTGTTTATATATTTTTTAGATTTTTTGGTTACAGTATGAATTATTTAAGAGAATCTTTGTTTTAAATTTTCAACTCTTAGTTATAAAAACTGAACATTTTATAATTTTTTAATTCCAACGATTGATAATTTTTGAGATTTTGATAAATTTTGTCAAAATTCCAACTTTAAATGCTTATAAAAAAAAATCGTGCCTATGTATTTTTAATATTTTTCAACTGATATTGTAACAATATATCAGGAGCCTTGTATTAAATTTTTACACTTTTTGGCCCAACAGATAAAACTTTATTGATATTTATAGAAAAAAAAACTAAAAAAAAATTGAAAGCTGTAAATGTCCATAAACAGCTCAAAAAGAGTCAAAATATTTTCAAAATTGTATGGTGTATAGGAAATGCTAATATAAACATTCAGTGAAATTTTCATGTATCTACAGTTATTCGTTTTTGAATTACAACAAAATAAGGAAATCGCTACATGAGAAATCGAGTAAAAATCCAATGTTGTAAAAATTTGAATTTCAAACGCTCATAAAAATTTAATTTGACTGTCCGGTAGAGATTTTTTTATTGATAAAGGTAGATAATCTTATAAGGAATCTTGTGTTTCATTTTCAAATCTTAGATTTAAAAAGAAAAATTTTTACGAATTCTTAACTCAAAATAATTTGCTAATTTTCATGATTTTTCCATATTTTGTCAATTTTTGAACTTTAAATGCTTATAAAAAAAATTGTGACTAAGGATTTTTAATATTTTTCATCTGCCTTTGAAACAACATATTAGGAGCCTTCTATTAAATTTTCAAGCTTTCGCAACCAACAAATAAAATTTTATTGATATTTTTAGAAAAAAAACTAAAAAAAAATGGAAAATGAAAATGTCCCTAAACAGTTCAAAATAAATCAAAATATTTTGAAAATGTTATCGTGTATAGAAAATGCAAATATTAACAACCAGTGAAAATTTCATGTATATACGTTCATTTGTTTTAGAGTTACACCAATAACCAAAATCGATTTTTTGGAAAACCAATTTTGCGTAAAAATTCCCGTTTTTCCTTAATTTTTATGTTGTTTTTCCCGGCGCTCGTGAAAACTACTGGGAAATGTTTACTTTTGACCCCCAAAGTACCAACTAGATTCACTTTCCTATCAGAAAAGGTACTATTGAAGAAAATCGAAGCACTTTTACTGTCCTAAAACGTGATGACAGACACAAAAATATAAAAATATAAAAATATAAATAAAAATATAAAAACATACATCATTGTAAAACCAATACATTCATCGCTCCGCTCAGAATCTAATAATAAAATATTTGGGTAGCTTTAGAATAAATAACGATTTATTGAGTATACCTACGTAGTTTTACAGACATTTTAAGAGCTTGCATAATTTTTCTTATAATGTCAGCAATCACTGTGACAGGAGCAGAACAATCATTTTCCAAACTAATTTTGGATAATTTTTATAATTCAAATGATCCACTATCCAGGCATCCAGTAGGTATATTTATACCTATTAGCAATCAGAATTTGTCGGCCAGACTTAGTTCCAATGTTATATAACCTTTTGAAGTTTGCAGTTTTGAGTATTTTACGTCTACGCAAATTATTTCATGATATCTGACTACTCGAAAAAGTACATTTTAAAACTTTATTAAATAGTACCTACGTAATTATTTATTTTAAATCATGCATGCATTTATACATTTGCCTACTTACATTATACAGATTACAGATCACAATGATTGAACTGAGAGGTTTTTATGATATTATTAACCAAAATTTTTTTTGGTTGGGTGGGGGGGTAAAGGTTTCAACCCTCCCCCTCCCCACAAACATGACCAAATTACGCCACTGTATTGGATATACCTACCTAGTCAAAACTTATCACCGGGACCATTAGTCACAGGCCTGCATAGTACAAGACATAAGACAATCTCACATATTATAAGCCACATCCTGATGAACCACAAAATACTTTACTCAAATAAAGAAAAAACTACCATTGTAATTTAAAAATTAAAATTGTTATTTAGGCCTATCGGTAAATCATTATACTGTGAAATTAAACTTTATGGTTAAACCGGTCGACCATAAAATAATTATAAGACTCCTATAATTGACCTAATTTATATATTAGCTACTACCTAGCTGATCCTACACGCCGTTTCTCGTATCAAATTTAATGCCCGCGGATTAACATCCTTTTAAGTCGTAGTAAATAAAAACTGGGTTTTTTTGTCAAATTATAAAATACAGGTTTAAATTTTTATCCAAACATAATAACTATTTTATTTGTTGTAACCAATGGGCAATGGCAACAATTTAAATAAACAAAAAAAATATTCGATTTCTGTGAATTTAGTGTGACTGTGTGAGCCCCCCTATATAATAATATAATATGGGTTATTATGGTTATAAACATATGCTATGGTGGCATGGTGCATACTTCATACTACAACCCTCGGCTACAGGATTACGTATGTACCTACCAAATTTCAGAACCCTGCTCATGCCGAGCGTAATATACTTGGATATACCCTATAGTCGGCTATAGATTACACACACAAACATTGTCTTTTATTATTATAGATTATTATTAATGTTTTTACAATATATTAATATAATAGGTACCTATATTTACAATAAATTGTATTAAAATGCGAAACATAATGAAAATACAATATTAACTTTGAGCTTAATTTTTTTATTTTAGCCATCTATAATCTATATTAATTACTAATAAAATATGAATTTAAATGTGAAATTATAAGGTCCAAGATAAACATCCAGATGCAACTTTCCTACAGTAAAATACTAAAATTAATATATATTTACTATCTGAAGTATTAAGTTTTACTTTATTGTGTTGTTACTAACCATATTTGCAGTAGGTAGTAGTGTAAACATTATAATACCTGCCTACAATATTTTATGTATACTGGATACATATAATGATAATTTTAACCTTAGTAATTTATTCATGTTATAATGTTATATAAATTAAGGCGTATTTTGAAACGTTACCTACCAACTACCTATAGTAAATATAGGTATATTCACAGAAAAACCCAAACTTGTTGTTTGTCACGTTACAGAAATCCTCTTGACGAATTCGGACACGAGGAACGCCTTGGTCAGCATAAAGATATGTTAATATCAAACAGCATTATAGCAATATCTATGCTAACGAATAGTGAAGGATTGAAGTGAGGTATTATTTTAATATACAATGTACACATTTTTGTTGCAGTTGTATGATTCAATTTTGAGGTAAATAGAAAAACATTAACGACAGATGAGACAGTGGTGCATCTGTAAATCAAGGCTGTCTTAATCATTGAGCATTTGGTAGGTACTGAATTGAGAAAATGTATTTCCTTAGCAAAACAACATTAAATATTTCCCGGATTTTGGTAGAGTCGAACAAAACAGGAAATGTTGTATAGCTTTCAAGCTTAACAAGTATATAATATAAACCTTGGAGTTTGAGACATTCATCTATTCTTAGCAGCGGTAGAAGTACAAGATGAAAAAATTTTGCATTGTACAGTATACCTAATACCTGTAAGCTTACTTTGCTTTAAAATTAATCGCATTACAATGATTTTAAGACAAAAACAAGTATTCATTATTATAAAAATTAAAGAAAATAATATTTTTGTGGGCTCCATGAAGCTTTACTTCTCAGGCTCAATAAATCATTAAGAAGTAACATTTTGGTCAACATTTATGTTGAACATATTCTGATCTGCTTTAAATAGATAAATAGTTAATTAAAATAAGTTTTAACTTCAAACTACAACGTGCGAAAGTGCAAAACACAATGTAACATTATAATTGTTATAATAGGTATACTACCATATATTTAAAATATTATGTTTGTTGATCAACATTACAAACCTATAACTAATAAACAAAAAAGTTTTTATAATTATCGTATACAAAATGTAAATTGTAAAATAGACTTCATGATTAATAAACAATTACAGATATCATTTTAGGTAACTATAAAATAATACATAATTCATAGTTATGTATAATGTATACAGCTATCAATCTACCATATATGTAATATCTATGTAGTATAACAAATGCACATAATTTAGGTTTTTTTTTCTCTTTTTCTTGTAAAATCAAATAATTTGACTTCAAACATTTGGAAACCATCTTCAGTATATGAGAAGCCTAAAAATACTATGCAGCACAACAAACACCAGTATTGGAAGAGTGATGATGTTAACATAGCATATATAACAATACTCTAGGTAAAAAAAAATATGTCATTATAAAAAGCTGTATACTTACAAGCTTTAATTGTGATTAATTATAATTATTTACCTGAACTAGTGTCCAAAATATTAGAGCTAAATAGAGGGCATTATCAATGGGTTGATTATTATTGAGTGTTGCTTGAGGATCTGATGAAAACGACGAAGTGGCAGTAAAATCAGCTAATCTTTTTTCTTTCAGCTTCCAAATATCATTTAACCATGCTTTTAAACCATCTGAAGTTAATGGTAAATCTGTCTCATCATATCTATATAAATTAAAAATCGATAAGATTTAGAGTAATTTCTCATCATATATTATACGAGAATTTAATGTTTTAAAGTTTATTATATTCAACTAGAATATAATATATTCTAATAATTAATTATAGTTTTATTATAATATATTGGTAGCTAAAATATAGAAGTTCAGAATTACTTAAAAATTGGGAAATCAATATTGATTAAATAAAAGTTTAATGTTTATTATAATGACATTTACAAATATTTTTATTTTTTTTTTAGATTCTGAGTGAAACGATGAATGTATTGATTTTACAGTGATGTGTGTTTTTTTTTTTTTTTTATTTTTTTATTTTTTTTTTTTTTGTGTCTGTGTACACGATAAGTAGTCGAAATAATGCTTCGATTTTCGACTTCAGTATCTTGTTCGATTGGAAAGTGAATATCGTTGGTGCATTGGGGAGGTCAAAATTTAAAATTCCCAATAGTTTTCACAAGCGCCGGGAAAAACAACATAAAAATTAAGGAAAAACGGGAATTTTTACGCAAAATCAGTTTTTGACAAAATCGAATTTGGTTTTTGGTGTAACTTTAAAACAAATGACCGTAGATACATGAAATTTTCACTGGTTGTTTATATTTGCATTTTCTATACACGATAACATTTTCAAAATATTTTGATTTATTTTGAACTGTTTAGGGACATTTTCATTTTTCATTTTTTTTTAGTTTTTTTTCTAGAAATATCAATAAAATTTTATTTGTTGGTTGCGAAAGCTTGAAAATTTAATAGAAGGCTCCTAATATGTTGTTTCAAAGGCAGATGAAAAATATTAAAAATCCTTAGTCACAATTTTTTTTTATAAGCATTTAAAGTTCAAAAATTTACAAAATATGGAAAAATCACGAAAATTAGCAAATTATTTTTAGTTAAGAATTCGTAAAAATTTTTCTTTTTAAATCTAAGATTTGAAAATGAAACACAAGATTCCTTATAAGATTATCTACCTTTATCAATAAAAAAATCTCTACCGGACAGTCAAGTTAAATTTTTATGAGCGTTTGAAATTCAAATTTTTACAACATTGGATTTTCACTCGATTACTCATGTAGCGATTTCCTTATTTTGTTGCAATTCAAAAACGAACAACTGTAGATACATGAAAATTTCACTGAATGTTTAAATTAGCATTTTTTATACACCATACAATTTTGAAAATATTTTGAGACTTTTTGAGGTGTTTATGGACATTTACAGCTATCAATTTTTTTTAGTTTTTTTTTCTATAAATATCAATAAAGTTTTATCTGTTGGGCCAAAAAGTGTAAAAATTTAATACAAGGCTCCTGATATATTGTTACAATAGCAGTTGAAAAATATTAAAAATACATAGGCACAGTTTTTTTTTATAAGCATTTAAAGTTGGAATTTTGACAAAATTTATCAAAATCTCGAAAATTATCAATCGTTGGAATTAAAAAATTATAAAATGTTCAGTTTTTATAACTAACAGTTAAAAATTTAAAACAAAGATTCTCTTAAATAATTCATACTGTAACCAAAAAATCTAAGCAATTTATGAACACAGTTATTTTTTACAGACATTTTAAATTCAAATTTGGACGAAATTACATATTAAAATCAATATTAACGATCTTGGTTTTTTGTTGTAATTTAAAAATATTATTCGGGGATATATGAAACTGAAAAATCAACACATTATGGCCTATCCATACAATCTACCATAGTATAAGGAATAAGAAGTATGCTCAATGATAAGACTGTGCATATTTTAAGGAGCAATGAATAATTTATTCATAAATTCCATATAATTTAATACCATAAATAAGTATATAATATGTCTTATAGTTTATACCTAGACTGACATACCGCCTCCGCTCAGAATCGTTTTTCTTATACAATGATATTATATCATTGAATTCAAATTTAATACCATCCATCATACAGTGACCCACTTGTAACCTACAGTACAGCAGAGCGACATCCACTTACCCACCTTTTTTTTTTATTGAGCTTGAGCCCGGCAACTTAGGCCATTAGCTGTTGGTCTTTTGTTTGTTTTGTAGGTTGTTAGTGGGGGGAGGAACGGTTGAAAACACGTTTTTGTATGTGTGGCAAGGATTAATTGCTAAAAATCCTAGGTGGTCACCCAACCGGGAACGTTACCGGCCGTTACGTACACTCACTGAGTTTTCGCAGTTGAGTACACACACTGCGCCACATATTTTGATTTGAATTGTTGGTATATTACTGATTAGCAGGGCTTGGATCTTTATGTGTTTAAATTGAGTTTACACGAGTCATTTATTTTTATTTCAATTTTATGAATAGAACTTGTTGCATTTGCATGTTTTTTTTTTGAAGTTAATAGATTTAATGCTATCGAAGCTTGAAGTTATTTTTACAACACTACAAAAAAAATATTAAAGTTTATAGTACATTTTAAATTATTTTGTATATTTTGGGATTTTGTAGTTTTAAGAACATGTTTCTTAATTTTACTATTTTTCAATACAAAATTAATACTTAATGTAAATTTATTTTGAGTTTTTAAAACTCTATTTGCCATACAATACCCCATTTTAGTAAATAAATATTTGAATTTATGAAAATTGTGAGTAAAAAAAAAATAAGTGTATATTTTTAAAGCATATTTATAGCAATAAGTTCAGAGCCCTACTAATAAGTACTCAATTAACAACTAATTAACGATTCATTTGAAATTGTATTTTTACATGTCAAAATACAAATACTCCACATTGTGATTCAAAATATGAAATTAAAAACATATATTGTCATTCAAAGAAGCAAAAACTTAAAAAAAGATAACCTTGATAGTTGATAGTTTATAAAATAATGAGTGTTTTACAATAAATGAATCGCATTATATTAAACAATTAAACAAAATTTTTTTTTTCATAATACCTTTTTATGTTCATAAAATGTACATTTACAATATGTATTTATTACAATAAATTATTAGTCAAAATATTGTGGCTCGGCGCAGTAGCTGAAATCAATAAAGCTATATGATTGAGAGTGAGCAACGGCCGCTGCCGTTAGTTCTCGGATGAGTGAGCACCCAGGTTTGTAGCACGCAAAAACCTGGCTACACATACACGTGTTCCTAACCGATACCAACCATTCCAACCCTACTGTACCAACACTACCAACCTACATGCTAATGACCTCAGTCATCGAAGAGCCTTACGACCTTAAAAAAAAATAGTAAATAAATAAATACTAGTTACAACTTGCCGTTTTATATGAAAATGCACATTTTTTGGAAATACACCTCTTAAAGCATCCATTTCATTTTGTGGTAATAAATCTGGATAACCAATAGTCAAATCATACACTGCTTTCATTTGCTTATCTGTAAATGTTAAAAAGCTGATCAATATCAATTCATTTTAAAAAATGTATAATCAATTTTACTTTTTCGCATTGTGTCAGCAAGGAATACAAAACCTGTAGTCTTTGGGTGAAGCACATATTTATAATTAGGAAGACTGTTTTTTGCGGCATATTTGTTACTACGCATAATATTGCTTGGCGATAGATCTGTTCCTTCAGGGAACAATAGAATCTATAATAAATGACTGATTAATAAACTACTGAAATTTTCAATTACCAAAAGTATATTTTTCTTTAATTTGTAGTGTAATTACTAATTTGTAGGTTTTATTGCTTTATTGTTAGTCAATAATTGAAGTATTTATTTTTACTATATAACTATAGACTATTAACAAATTTTAGTCATAAGATATTCTATATTATATTCTATCGCTTTTAAAGAATATTAAGAGAATATAATCTGCCTACCTGTTATAAATGACATATCATCTAAATAGAATTTTTAGGGAATATAATGCTTGCCTCTATTAATCAAGCTATAATTTTAATGTGCGTTATTAATTAATTTTACATAAAAGAATATTAATATTAGAATTTTATTTATAAGTAACAAAATTGTTATTTTAACATTTTTCACACAAGTTAATATTCAAAATTTCAAACTATTTATTTAACACTATTTACCTGATGAGTATCATTTACGTCACGGAAGTATTTTAACTGTTTTTCCATTGAGGATTGGTCATGATCCCAGCGACGATGTATGTATAAAAATCCCGATAATTGCATCACCCAACCAGCAAAAGGTACATGTCGAATAGCTGATTTAAGTACCATTTTCAGCTTATGTGCAGGTGGTTTGGAACTGTAATACATACCACCCCACAAAAAATTCCAATCCAACCGATTACGGTGATTCATTATTAACAATGCACCATCAAATGGATTAATGTGATCACCAGTTATTATAAAACGAGTGTTGAACAACAGACGCATCAATATCTAAACAAATTAATAATTGTAGTTCAATGAATAAAAATGTATATTGTAAATTACTAACGGTGGGATACATCTCCCACACAGAGAATATGATGCCTATAATATAACGGAAAGCGTGCGGATAAACGAACATCAACGGTACTAGTGGACAACAAAGAGCAAGAAATCCACTTGTAATACTCAGAAACCATAATGTGATGTATGCAATACCTCTCCATTCCATTTTCAATTACTTTTAACTGTGAACAAATTTTAAAATTAACAACATATGCAAGAAAATTAATTTTATTAAATACGTGTACAAAAGCATGCAAAGATAAATACCAAGCCAAGTACAACCAGCAGTTAAAAATCAAATAGAGGTTACGACGGACAATATAGATACTTAGTACACATTTTTGGTTAAATTAAACTATATTTTTAGATTATAATATATTTTGTGTTCACATCTTTATCAAGTTACATTTTTTTTTTTTTTTAGACAATTCAAAATTTAACAGTTATATATAATATAATATATATAACCTATCATTGAGTAGATTATAATATCTAAACAATCCTCAATGGTTAAATAATAAATATACAACAACAAAAGTAACGTATATGGATAGAAATCAATTGTTCACAACTTAATGTTTCACTTATTACAATATTAATATACTATATTATTCTCTATTTATTTTAATTATAATTATATTTTTCCAATTAATATATAATTAGTTAAACTATTTTTAAATTAAACCAACATTAATAGGCCAAATAATTTATAGTATACAGTTTTATTCATATAGTCATACTGCAAAAGTGGTGTATGCAAGGTTACAATAAAAAAGAAATATTCAATAAATATTTGAGAGGTAACATGGCAGTTCTTTATGGTAAAATTCTAAAAAAATTAGACATGTAGATATTAAATCAAAACATTCTTTGATCAAACATTGTTTTCCTTGTGTATACTATTAGTAAAAACAACAATTATGGACATAAAAGTCTAAATAAATTAAATTAATAGTCTCAAAAAATATAATAATACTCTGTAATAAACTGGGGACCAATATTTTCAAAATTATAATTGGAATTTTAAAATTTAAGAGAAAAGCAAATAATTTTTGTTTATAACATTGTATAGAAATAAACTAAAATTAAATAATAATATACCACTGTTACATTACACCAAAAAATAAACAAACTAAACATACAAAGAGTTAAAAATTTAAAAATCACGTAGTTTGGCCATAAAAGAAAAAAAAATTGGTAGAAATAATAATGGAACTTAAACTTTTTTATATTTTAAATATTTCTTGAGAAGTTGACTGGCTTCGCTATCCGTTTCTTTGTCCTAAAATAATTGATTTTGTTATTTTAAAACTATATTATAATCAAGAAGATTATTATATGATTATTGACTATTGACCTCAGAATCCTTAGCGGGAAGCTCCAATGATTGTTCCAACCAATTCACGGCAGTTTCATACTCGTTTTTAGCTATGTAACACTTGGCAAGATGTAGGTGACAGTCTTTTAGCTGAATCGGAGATTCGCGTTGAAATTTTAAAAATAGTTCAATCGCTTCTGGTATTGTACCTTTAGGTACCTCTCCATACAACCAACTGGCTATACGCCGGTCAAAAGATGATAAAACAGCAACCTAAATAGGTATTATTATTATTTATTTGTGATTAAGTTGTACTCTACTGACTGAATAAATAAACTCAAAAAATCTTACTTCATATTCAAGTTTTCCTTTTAAATAATATAAAGTTGGATCACGAGAATTGATTTTTATTGCTTCATTTATGTGATTTTGAAATATATAACCTCCTTCAATTTTTTCTTTAGTTGATCCTAACTGACCTCGAGCACCACTACATATAGCAAACCATTTGTGTGCATTACAATTCCCTGGATACATTTCCAAGGCATGCTTTGACCATTTTACACCTGAAAAATATTTTTATTTAGAATTTATATTTAAAATATTTTGGAAATTTCTTACCTTCATCAATAACTGATTTACTCTTTTCTAGATTTTTTTTTGCTGCAATATAATATTTTGATACAAATTGACACGATTTTGCTAATCTCCAAAGTACCTCAATATCATCTGTTCGCTACATAAATTAATTAAAACATTGTAGTATCGGTAAGTGTATAGTAAAAATGAAAATATAACAATTTACTTCTTCGTTAAGGTGTAATAAAATTTCATAAGCTTTAAGTTTATCTTCATCAGAACCTTCAAATAATTCATCTACTTGATCAAAAATATCATCACTAAGTAATGAAGGTCCAGTATAATGTTCGCTAAAATGTTCTGAAGATAAACTACCATCTGGACTATAAAAATTAAAAACAATGTATACTTATGATTTATTTACTAGTAAAAAATAAGACAAAAAAAGTATTTACTTTTCATTCAGAATATTTGAATGTTGGGATTCTTCGTTTTCTGATGACATGTCGTGAAATTCGTCGTCAGTTCCTAGTGCTGTATACAAACTAGCTTCACTTGTTACACTGGTGCTACTTGATAAGGCTGATCTTTTTCCTGGTTTTATAATTTTTTTCCTAAAATTAATATAACATATGGAAAATTTATAAACATTTAAAATTCAATATTAAAAACATTTACTTTAATGCTTTAAATTCTGCTTGAAGATCAAGTATTGCAATATTTAATTCATCAACTTCCTGTTTTAATAATAGTTTTTCTTTTTTTTCTAGTAGTCGAGTTATAAAAACCACCCCAACTGAACCAACCGTTATTCCAATGCCAACTGCAACAGCTATTACTCCCTTTAACCAATGCGGATCTGTTGACATTACATTTGGTGTTCCTACACAATACAATAATCAGACACAAGACACAAAAACACCAAATGTTTCTATCACCTTATTATACAGTTGTATAAGATTGGACTGTAAATTTATTAAATTTACATAGATTTATTTATCTTCTAACGAATTCTATGAATTATTGATTTATGAATATATAAATAACTTAAGTTCACTCTTTTTTTTTTAACTTCTGGGGTTTTGAAATTTGAATTTAATTTATAAACACATAAATAAAATCTTGTTTCTTTAAAATATTTCTAAGGTATTCACAAATATAATTTAAGAAATAATGCATTTTTTTATTACGCACTTCAAATAATCATTTATAAGGTACCTATGTGCCTACAATGGAACAAATCAAAATATTTAAAAAGAAGATTTTAACAAAACCTATAGATACTCTGCATTAACTGTAAAATTATGCAAACAAGATAAGATCAAAATACGTAATAAATAAAAACTGTTATTAGTTTATACTCGGCGTAAGCATAGGTAGACAAAATAAAAATTAACTAAAAGATTAGTTCTGATTTAGTTACTACTTATTCATTTTATAGTTTTATTGATACAATCATTTTTTAAATCGGTAAAGTACAAGTAAATATTATTTTATTTAAGTATTATTTTCTTTCCAGGTACTTTATGAGTTAATAAATGTTAGAATATAAACATATAAACACCCAATCATGTACCTTCTATTTAAGGTCCTTATATATAAATTATAATGATATAATAAATATAATTTCCTTGGTTATTAATGTTTAGATTATTTTAATGTGTTATGTACTACATTAATGTACATAATTTTCTAATAACTTCAAAGCTCAATAATTAGTAAGCTGAACAAACATTAAGAATCTTACATATTTATGCATTTACAATTAATGTATTTAAATAAATTGTAGGTAATTACCTACCAATGAATTTTTTTTTAATTTTATTCAACAAATAATAAGTATGGATGTTTAGTTTGTTAAACAGTTATACTTATTGTAAAAGAAGGTTATATTGCCTTAGTTAAGACATTAACCTATTGGCTATTGCATTTAACCCGTCGTTGGTATCGCTATGTAAAGTCCCGCCATTGGTATTGAGTGAGCGCTGCGCTCACCTTGTTGTTTTTTCATCATTATTTATTATATAATGAACATAAAATATTGAAACCAACAACGAATTATTTATAGTTTAATCTTTTACAAAAAATGTTCTTACAATTTTTCTCGATTATAAATTGTTAACCACTAAAACTTAATTTATAATACATAATTATATAATAAGATAATCATTATCATTCATCTTCGCCTTAGTGGTCTGGAATATTTTGCTGATTATTATACAGTACACATATAAATGTTGGGTGCTACTTAAAAATCGGTCTGAGTTTACGAAAAAGTATTTGGTTGACCTATTGAGTGAGTGAAACGCTGAATTTATGGATATTAACAACATTGCATGTCGATATCTAATCAAGAATTATTTATACAATTATTATATTTGCAAAAGTATACTTAAATATGTGTCGATTGAAGGTATAAATAGTATCAGATGAATCAAGTAATAAATAAACAAATGGCTCTCAAAATACTAACGAGGTGAGCGCCGCGCTCACATCGCGACCACTGACGGGTTAATATATTATATAACCAATTGTAGTTACTTATTAGTTGTTACTTACACAATAATATGATTTAAGATAATATATTAACAATTAACAAAGTATTAATTTATAGAATTGTAATTAATATATTATTAATTATTATACACCTTTTGATGATTTTTAACGCAAACTTAATATATTATTAACTCAAATAAATAATTTATTAAAAAATATTACAAGATCTATTAACAAATAATAAAATTATATTTGTAATTATTCAAAGATAGGTATTAGTGTAATTTTTTTAAATTGTAACTCACGTTACAATTGGTGGTAAAGTCACAATCAGAAGCACATTTAATATATTATATAGTTTTTCTCATTATGAAAGGTAGCACAAATATTTACCTGTTAGATACCTTCTAATTTACAACATAACCAACACCAAATTTTAAAGATAAACATATATTATATTTATATAGGTACACACAGACACAATATTATGTAACAGCATATATTTTGTAATTCAACACAAACAATGTCAATTGTTAAATTTTTACTTATCAAAATACCTAACCTAACCTATTGAAAAAAAGGAAAAATAATTATTTTCAAAGAACATTTCAACTGATTATATCACTATTGATTTTAATTAAAATGTAATATTGCATAGGTATTGTAATGAAAATTAAAAATACTGTCATATCTTGTTTTATAAAAACTCGAGACAAAGATAAGAGATTTGATCATTATTTGTGAATACTATACATAATGGCACTGTACACTTAATCCTAATTAAGTGCAAATATTTGACTGAATGCAGTTTTACCACATAGTTCAAATAATTGATCTAGGTACCTACCTAATCCACAATTATCAAATGAAATAACATTATATTACAATCTACTTCATTTAAGATCATAAATCAACTAATGACCAAATTCATATACATAGTCACATATTATGGTAATTCTTGTTACAGTAAACATTCATTATTTCAAAAACTACCAATTTCATTCACTCTGTATACCTAGTGTAAATTATGTATGTTTATATAAAGTTGGTCATTAGTTATATCGGGAGTTATATTTTGATTTTTATATTTAGTTTAGATGTGTTTCAATAATTAGTTTTAATCTCAACCTTACATAAAAATATTAAGATATAACGTAGTTTGTTATAAATTATAATATAAAGTCAAGTGCCAAATTCTCAACAACTATAACTATAATTTAATTGCTAAGTACCTGTTCAAAACATGTCCGTCGTAACACCAAAACCAAACACAGAAGGATCGTTGAAGTTAAGCTACCAAAAAGACACAATACAACATAAGCAAGATAGAAACCTACAGGGTATGCAGTAGAAATGTAGAATTAATGGTTATTAATAATCTCAATAGTTTTGGAAATCCAACCAAAGCAATCAAATATTATCTGGGTAATCTAGTTTAGGACGATTGAAATCGGTATTTAGAAAAATAAAAAAACAAAAATAAGAGTATTAAGAAAAAACAAGAACGGTTTAACAGGTGTTCTAAATTCGTGCTGTTAATACATTGTACAGATAGGTAGGTAGGTAAAGGTATTGTTAATATTCAATTGAATTCACTTACCCTTACGTCCGTTTATTAATGTGCACAAAGGTCATTTGTGGTGGCCTGTACGCCGCACTGGGAAAATACTAGGTATCTAAAATATAAAGATATTTTTAAATTTATTCAATAGGCGCAATTTATGAAAATCATTAGACTACATTAGAGTTTAGACTGATATTGACATGAGTGAAAGATTACAAGAATGAAAAAAGAAAGAAACTTTATGAAGAAAGATAATATAAAACCATGTATTGGAAGTTTGCGACGGTTAAACACATGTCTAATTTAAATTGTCTAGGATTGAAGTTAGCAACAATGTTGGAAAAAAAAACCAAGATAATATCACAGATATAAAATGGATCACTACTAATTGTTCCACAAAATATTTGTTCCACACTATATTTGTTCCAACTACTATTTCATCCTAGTTTTACTATTTGTTCCACAATACACTTGTTCCGATTACTATTTATTCCGCAAAACATTATTCCGATGACTATTTGTTCCGCAAAATATTTGTCCCAATTACTATTTGTTCCAAAAAACGTTTGTTCCAAGTGTTCCTAACCGCTCCGCAAATCGAAAATATCCCCCGACTTGCTGTGCAACACCTCCCCAAGTGGGTCACAGGGTTGAGAAAATTGCATTTTTGTTGCACCGAGCCACCAATTTGAAAAAAACATCGTACAGTGATGCGGTGCTAGCGGCACTCGTCGCTACGCTCCTCGGCGCCGTCGCTCCGCTCCGCAAATCGAAAATATCCCCCGACTTGCTGTGCAACACCTCCCCAAGTGGGTCACAGGGTTAAGAAAATTGTTTTGTGGAAAATTGTTTTGTGGAACAAATAGTACTTAAAAAAAAATAATTTTTGTTCCAAAAAAAATATTATTAAGATCCACAAATAATTTGTTCCAATTACTATTTGATCCGCAACATATTTGTTCCAATAATTATTTGTTCCACGAAATATTTGTTCCAATTCCTATTTGTTCCAAAAACTATTTGCTCCACATTTGGAACAAGTAGTTTGTGGAACAAATAGTAATTGGAACAATTATTTTGTGGAACAAATAGTAATTGGAACAATTATTTTGTGGAACAAATAATACAGGCCCATATAAAATACATATACCTATATCATGAACATTAGAGGAAGGACGCCGAACAATGTATATAAAAGTGGTCCGGAATTATCGCATTCCGCCAGAATGCGCGTCGGACCGTAATGATGTCGTTTTTACATGTACAGCATAGGAAATTTATTGGTTTTTTAATATTATATTCTAAATGGTGTAACTTATGAATAATTACTATAGAACATTTTTTTAAAACCAAATTGCCCTCGATCGAATATATGTGTTTCCAATAATATACGACTTTTATAAAAAAAGATATAGTTGTTGTCTCTTTTTATAAAAGTCGTATATTATTGGAAACACATATATTCGATCGAGGGCAATTTGGTTTTAAAAAAATGTTCTATAGTAATTATTCATAAGTTACACCATTTAGAATATAATAATAAAAAACCATTAAATGTCCTATGCTATACAATATGTAAAAACGACATCATTACGGTTCGACGCGCATTCTGGCGGAATGCGATAATTCCGGACCATGTTTTTACGCTTCGTTCTGCTGTGTTCGGCGTCCTTCCTCTAATGTTCATGACCTATATAATAGGTATTTTATATCTGTGGATAATATTTTATTCTGTGATAATAATATCATTGATTAAATTTAATCAATGATAATATGTTGCTCGGTTTGATAATTAATGATAACCGGTGTCGATTTACCACAGAATAAGACAATTGGATTTGGATTTACGATTAAAGATGAGTTAATGTCTTGATGAGTCTAATACTCCAATAGTCTATAATTGTTTCAATACAAAAATCCTCATAAAAATATTTATATTTTGCATTTTAAGAAAATATTTCCATTTACCAAGGCACTTTGGGGACAGGTGAAAGATCTGTAATGACATATATCACTAATTGCTTGTTTTTGGTTTTATATTATAAACACATTGATACACTACTACACTGTAATTGATACACTCAATTAAAACACTAAATATTTATACTGCTTAGGTTTGAACGCAAATTTGAAAAGTGAAAAAAAAAATGTCAAAAGCATCACGAAAAGTCTTACTGGGTTTTGTGGATGAACATATCAAGAGTGAAAGCTGTTCTGATGATGCTTACACAGTAAATAAAATTGGAGGATTGTCTGTAAGTAGCTTGTTAAGCTAAATAAATAAGAACTGTTTTTATAAATTCATTTTTATTATTAGAATACACTAAATCAGAATTTTTCGCCAAAATGTCCACTGTGTAATCGCCAGACACCATTACTCATTCAGATATATGCACCGGTTACAAATTCTATATACCATAGAACATTATATATCCATGCATGTGTAAGCCCTGGATGTTGGAACAAATCTCAAAGGTATAGTATTGAGAATAAAGTACCCATTGAACCTTTTATTATATTATATTTACTAAACCATTCTTATTCAGTTGGATATGTTTGAGACGACAGTGGGTCGCAGTAGATGATTATGATAATAAGCAGCAGCCTACAACATTTATTGAATGGTGTGATGATGCTGACGATTGGGGTGAGGAACCTGTAGCTGTGGCTGAAGAAAATGGTAATATTACTGTTCCAAGCCAAGCAATTGAAATATGTGATACTGCAAGTGCTGAGTTAGAAAATTCTGATGCTGATGATAATGTTGTTGCTGAGCCAATTGAAATACCAAATACAAATTTTTTTCAATTACTAGATAGTAGAAAAGAAATACCTTCAGTAAGTTGCTTAATCAATTTGGATACTATATGTAAATGTTTAAAAATAAAAAATAATTAAATAGCTAAATAAAATAAAGATAATGAAAAACCATTAAAACCATATAACATTTTACATGTAAGCGGACATAAAAATCGTTTAAAAGTTTTTGAAAAAGTCAATTTTTGTATAAGTTTGTACTTTTTAGAATTATTGAAATGTTAATATACAATTAGTTACCTATAATCAAATGCATGAGGCTTGTATAGGTGCCTTCTTATTTAATTTAAATTAATATTGTTATATTAAATCTAATTGATGAATAAGTTCAAATGAGACTTGAAATAAATTATAAGTTAGGTTTTTTTGCATTTTTGCAATCAGTTTATGTTAAAATTTAGTAAAAAAAAAATTAATTCAATTTATAAGCAAATAATAAATACTAAATTATGTAAACTTTTTAATAAAAGTAATAAAAAGTATAAAATAACAATAGTAATGGTTGACAAACTATACTGTTACCTAATAATTTAAATAAAATTGAATTAATTAGTTATTAATAATAGAGATGGACATGATTTTTTGAACATTGACAGTCTATATATTATCAGCATTTTGTTATTTATAAACTTTATAAAATAATATTTATAACAGGATCACTATAATATGACTATATATTTTGAGCCATATTATATATCAGTAGCTTATGAAGAATCGTCTGATACAGTAAAAGAGCATGCAAATAACTTATTACACAGCTATCAAAATAATCAAATGATTCTTGAAGAAAAGAATGAAGGCTATGAAAAAAGTTTACCAGCACATGGTGATAAGCTTTTTGAAACATTTGCATCAATAATAAGAAAAAATCCTGGTCAAATTTTACGGTTTGTATGACAATATCAATTTTATGTAATTTTCTTCTATCTACCCTTATGTCTATAGTATTAGAAAAAACTATTACTGAACAATTTTTGTTTAGGTATTGTCGTACTGGAGGTAAACCTTTATTTTTATATGAAGAAAGTGAACCAAATGAATGTACCAACTGTAAAGGTAAATTATTATTTGAGTTACAAATTCTTCCATCATTAATTACATATTTGAAACTAATATGTGGAGACGATCACCTTGGTAGTGGACACTTAGAATTCGGAACAGCTCTAATATACACTTGTGAAAATAATTGCTGGAATGAAGGAGATACTTATAAATATGAATGTGTCATTGTTCAAGAAGAAAAACTGTTTTAAATTTTTATATTTATCTAATAAAAGATTTAAACAATCAATAAAATATAGTCATTTAATAAATTTCAAATTGAATCATAAAACATAGTAAAGGAAAATGATTGTGTAATTTTCCCATTTACATAGGATATAAGCACAAATTTAAAAAAAAAATTAAGATAACCAACCAAACTATGAATTGTAAAATTATTTATTAAGGGGATTGGAAGCGGCGATTTTCTGTCTTTATCTAACACACGTGGAACATAGGATTATAGACGTGTTCTATGTCCAACGTACCGATTAATCTAATGAAGCGATAAGAATTCTGAAAACAGATTTGAATTTGTCGTCAAGTCTACTTGAGATCGACTTTCCCACATTTTTGATATTGTCCCACCAAAATCATAAAAATGATATATTATAAAAAGTACTTAAAAAATTTACAAATTTCAACTTTTGGAGAAGTTTAAATCAAAAAATCAAAAATGTGGGAAAGTCGATCTCAAGTAGACTTGACGACAAATTCAAATCTGTTTTCAGAATTCTTATCGCTTCATTAGATTAATCGGTACGTTGGACATAGAACACGTCTATAATCCTATGTTCCACGTGTGTTAGATAAAGACAGAAAATCGCCGCTTCCAATCCCCTTAATTAGTATTTTACTTATAATTAGAATGTGAGTCCACAAGATCTGGGTCAAAATCCCAACAATTGTCATTGTGATCAAACATTAAAATTTTTACTATGATCTAAAAATTATAACTAATAATTATTTTATCATCATATAACTACATCCCAGCATTTGTACCAACATTTAAAGCATAAAAATAGTGAATATAATATATTAAAACACACATAAAGTATATTTATTATTTAAAATAAAATGTTCAACAAATATTTTTTTTAATTTTCATTTAACTAGGTTTGTAATTAATAATTATTGTATTCTTTAAAAAAATTAATAGGAGTATTATTAATGGATATAATAAATATAAATTATAACCTTAATTATAATCAGTGCAAACATTTTAATCTAAAAATCAAAATCAGTTGCCTGATTATTGTTCTTGCTTTATGTACCTACCTACTTACTCATTTTATCTTTTTGAATAAGATAAGTTATGTTATGACTATAGTTGAATCTGAAATATTCCAATATAATATTATTATAATCACTATAGTATTAGTATAATTATTATACTTAATAATGTGCATGATGAAAAAAATTTTAATCATAGGGACATATTTTTACCATTTTGTATATTTTGTATTTTTATTTAGAAAATATTTTAACTATTATTTATTAATTATTATTCATACAATATATGTGAGGTTTTAGTCAAAAATTAGTTCTACCTACTGTGTTACTAAGCCTTTTTATATTTCAATTTTGATTTGTCAAGATTATTTAAATAATACCATAATGATAAACTTCAAAATATACATTGGAAAAACTTTATGAAATAAATGTTGAGCATTAATTGTAATTTGATTTATGAATAACAAAAAAAAAGAAGTCATATTTGTAGTTACTTTTTTCAAAATGTTGTATATTTTAGTGATTTTACTCAAGAATCCTGATAATGCATAATAATGCCTCTAAATTGCCTGTACAATTCAACATATTATTGAATATAAGCATAAACGAAAAAAAAAAAACAAAAATTAAAAACTAGATACTTATTATATTAATAGACTGTAAAAGTTTTTTTGTCATTGTATTGTTTATGTTATGAATAAAAAAAATATTATAAATAATAACACATTTACATACAACCTTTAATACACAAACCATAATTTTTTTCTATATTGTTTTTAACAATTTGTGGTCTGATATGAAAACTATGTCATGGTATACAATTATTTTAGTCAAATGTATTTAATTGAAAAAAAAATGATCAGTACAAAATTTACCACACATTATCCTTGGAAAATGCATATAATATTTTTAAACAGATTTTCACTTCAGATTAATAGTGCTGCAGTTGTTGAAAAAAAGTGTACCGACTAAACAAATTAGCCTGACCAAAAATCCCGATTAAACTGTTGTCTGTAGAAATTAGGTTTGATAGATTTTGATTGATTAACAAGTTAACAAATAACAATATATAAAGAAAAGAAAATCATTATGGTGTTTATCGATATCACAATTGAAAATAGATACATAGACTGTAAACTTGTCAGTTTTTAAAATAAAAATTCGTCAAAACACAATGATTACAGTTTCATCTGGGCTTTGGGTCTAAATATCACATCATAATATTAATATTTAACTGATAGGTATTGTAATGTAAGTTGAATGACGTTTGTGTAATAGCCAATAGATACCTAACTAGGTACCTAATAAGTATTAACGTTTAATATTGTATTTTGATATTTGATTACTATATATGTATGTAATATTATACCTACACTATACCACATACTATTTTACCTATGTGTTTATGAACTTGTTTTTTTTTTCTTTTTTGAACCAAAAAATTGGGATGGAACTGATTTTGCATTGCTCTGCCCCCATCGTTTATTATAAACAATAATAGTGTACAGCGAAGAGTAATTTATAGAGCGATTTGGGGCGAATAGAAATGATTTTAACGGTTTTTTGAATAGATTGTGAACACAATTTTTATGCTATCGACATCACGAAAACTGTTTTAGAAAGATCATATTATATAGATATAATATATGATATAGTACTAAAAATTAAGTTTATGTTCAAACATTTTTTTTATATATTTTTTCAAAACGTGTTCCTATCTACCCGATAGTTAGAGTGAATAGGAACACGGTTAAAAAATCCAGGTTTTTTATTCTTTCACGTTGTTTATCAATAGGAACAAGATATCTATTTTTTTAAATAGTTATACATTATACTTTTATAAGGTTAAATGAAAATAAAAAAATTATTATTTTTATTTACGTAAAAAACTTCAATTTTAATAGATCAAACAGTCTTTTTTTATATTATTATATTTATCAAAACAAAAAACGAGTTGTACTGTATGATAAATAAAGAATTTCAAGGTGTTAGCAACTTTAAACAACTAACGATCGGTAGCAGTTTAAAGTAAGACTCGGGTCAGGATTCTGGAAACTAGGTAAATATTTAGAACGAAGTGTGTGGTATTCGGCGTTTATTCTTACAAACGGCAAACTAGAAGAACATAATATTACAGTTTCTAACTTAACAACTTAGATTAACGGTCGTCGGGGACGCGGGACAAAGCGGTGTACCCGGTCGCTACGAAAACTAGAACATGACTCTCTTGCCGGACGTCCCGCCGTCGCGGTTGTCCGTGTATCCGTTGAGCGCGAGGCGCAGTGTGACCAGTTCAGGGCACACAGTGCCTCAGCCCTTACAATATACATTATAACTTGATTTGATTATGATACATTTCACACGAAAAAACATTTGTCGCTAACATTCGGCCTTTCCTGGCCAGTCAGAGTGTCCTCGCTCTGTGGAGAGCCAAGCCAGAAACGTTAGGCGACATTACAATAAATAACTTACAACGGGTGATTAAATAATTTTAAACAATTAAATAAATAACTTACAACGGGTGATTAAATAATTTTAAACAATTAAATAAATAACTTACAACGGGTGATTAAATAATTTTAAACAATTAAATAAATAACTTACAACGGGTGATTAAATAATTTTCACAATTAAATAAAAAAAACTTACAACGGGTGATTAAATAATTTTAAACAATTAAATAAATAACTTACAACGGGTGATTAAATAATTTTAAACAATTAAATAAATAACTTACAACGGGTGATTAAATAATTTTTCACAATTAAATAAAAAAACTTACAAACAGGTGCATATCATGATGCAGTAGGTAGATAGGAATTAGTCCAGCTTGTAGTCGGACAAGTACGCAGGTGGACGTCTGATCCGGCTGGGCTCGATGACGGTCGGATTGCCCTCCGCACCACGATCTTCATCATCGACCTCATGTCGGACATCGCCCTCCTCGTCTTCATCATCGACCTCACGTCGGACAACGCCGTCTTGGTCGTCTCCTTCGACCTCGTCTTCACTATCAGCATGTTGCAGAATCTTCCATGATTTTAGCTGAGTGGTGTGGGCGGTGGTGGCGTACACCTCTCGACCGTCGGAGGCCACCTCAGCCACCCTATAGGTGTCTCCTGGCAACACTTCCATCACGTGTAGGGGCTTCTCTCGATATTTTGCCTGTAGTTTAGTGGGTTGATCTGGACGTGGTTGCCGTAACATAACAACGACCTCCCCCACTTCGTACCTTGTTCCCGGATAACGGTTCCGGTCGTAATGGGCCTTCATGTTTGCCTGGCCCGTGGCAATAGCATTTCGTACAGAGTCTTGCACGTCATTTGGGTTGGTCCATTCACCACTAGAACGGCTCAGTGTATTGACCACGCCTCCCACATACCTTGGTCGGTATCCATGGAGTGCCTCAAAGGGTGTACGAGTACTTGTTTTGTTTACGGCGGAGTTGAGGTGCCTCTCCAGTTCCGGTATCCGTTCGTCCCATCGATCTTGATCGGTTGTCATTATGGCTAACAATGGCACAATGGTCCGATTCGCGCGCTCGACCTGCCCATTGGCCTGCGGGTGACGTGTGGAGTTTAACGTGTGGCGAATACCTCGACTTTGGCAGAATTTACCAAACGCCTTCCCGGTGAAGCAGGTACCACGATCGCTTATGATACGTCCGGGAATTCCGCGAGTGTCACAGAATTTCGACAATCTGTTCAGTACACCGGCGGTGTCCGTGGTACGGCACGGATACAAATGAGTGTATTTTGTTAGGTTATCCACCAGTACCAATAGGTACTTGTTACCTGTGGCGCTGGTTTCAAAAGGACCCAGATGGTCGATGTGTACTACTTCGAACGGTCGCCTACCAGTCGGTATTGGATGTAGGTAGCCTGGATTCTTGCCGGCGGGTACCTTGTGTATTAGGCAATCCAGGCACATTTGGATGTGCTGTTTGACATATCGGCGTAGTCCAGTAAACCAATAGTCCTCTGTGATCTTTGCGACAGTTCGGTCCAACGAAAAATGACCCCCGTAATCGTGTGCACCAACAACGATCCCTTTCCTCATCGACCGAGGCACGACTAATAACGATTTTCCGGCATGTCTTCGGTACAGGACACCATCGTGTAGTTCGTACGGCTCAGTCAGGGACTTCTCGTGCTTGGTGAGTTTTCTTGTTGTTTTCATCAAATTGATCAGATTTGCGCTCGCGGCGTCACCTTGTTGCATAAACCGCACCTTGTCCACAACAGTCATAGCAACAAAGACGTCGAGCCGTTTGGTAAGCTCGTGTTCGACCGATATTTCTTCCGCGTCGAAAGTCGGCGGGGCGGCGCGGCTCAGGGCATCTACGTGTGCCATACGGCTGCCAGGTCTGAACTTAACTTCGAAATCGAACTCCTGTAAGATTTCAAACCATCGTGCTATTTGTGGCTTAACAGTCTTATGGATATTTAAATATATTAACGATTGACAATCTGTCACCACAGTAAAATGTATTCCCAACAAGTACGGGCGCAGACGACTAAGCGACCATATGACGGCGAATAACTCCAGCCGGCTGCTGTGGTACTTCGCTTCGGCGTCGGTCGTCTTTTTGCTGACCGCGTAGACCATATGCAAATCGGTGGTGGTCGGTCCTTGCAGCAATATTCCCGATAGTGCCACGGCACTAGCGTCAGTATGTACCTGTGTCACCGCTGCCTTCGGGTTGAACATGCGCACCACTGGCGCATTACATAACAATTCGCGGAGCGTGGTAAAAGATTCCTGTTGTGCTTCGCCCCACTCGTACGCCACATCCTTCCCAGTGAGCTGCGTCAACGGAGTAGCCACCTTGGCGTAATTGACAATGAAGCGGCGGAAGTAACCAGTAAGGCCCAAAAAACGGCGTATCTCGTGCGCATCCCGGGGCCGCGGGAATGTCTTGATTGCGTGGACCTTCTGTCCTGGTCGTATCACACCTTGAGAAACGGTAAACCCGAGAAAGTCCAACTCACTTGCACCGAACGTGCACTTCGCAGGTTTTAACGTCAACTTAGCTGCGCGGAGTGAATCGAATACCTGTCTAACCACGACGAGCATTTCTTCCCAATCCTTAGAAGGTATGATGATATCGTCCAAATATACGTGTATTAACCCCTGGTTCAGCAGTTCCTTAAAGACGGTGTTCATAATTCTTTGAAACGTGCCGGGGGCCCCTTTCAACCCAAACGGCATTCGTTCGAACCTCGCGGTGGTCTCCTCCGTGACGAATGCAGTTTTCTCCTTAGCCTCCTCGCTCAGTGGAATTTGCAAGAATCCATTGGAGAGGTCCATCGTGGAGAATATCCGGCCCTCCGCGAGCCGCGATAATAAGTCATCGATATCCGGCATCGGATATGGTTGGTTCTGAGTTTGTTGATTAAGCCTCCGGTAATCAACACACAATCGTTTTTCACCTGTGCCCTTATTTACAAGGAGCACCGGGCTAGCGTATGGTGACGTCGAGTCCGAAATAATACCGGCGGACTTCCAGTCGTTCAAAATCTGTGCAATGATGCGACGGTCGGTTGGCGACGTGCGATACGGTTTTTGACACACAGGGTCACTACCCTGCACCTCGTCAATGTTCATTTTCATAACGTCTGTGCAACCGAGTTCAGCCAACGTCTTGGCGAACACATCACGGTACTCGTTTATGAGCGTCATCAAACTGCCGCGTTCGGCTTCAGTGACACCCGGGTCTATCTTGACGTCGGTATGCAGTAGGGGCGTCATCGTGGGCTTGTCAGCACTGACTAGAGCTGCATATACATTCGAGCTTTCTTCCGACACATTTTCGGACAGCGCTGTAGAGTTAATACCGTTGAGTGTCTCGATGACCAGCTCATCTTGGCGCTTGTAATAACTGATGTGTGGTAGATTTAGCCACGTCCGGCCTACGATTACGTCCACAGGGATAGAATCGTCACTAACGACAAGCACCGGGTGATCGGCAGCGCTCGCGTCATCGACCGCTATATCTGCAGTGGTCTCACCCAGCGTCACCGCACCTGGAGAGTTCATGTCTCCGACCGTGAACAATGGACGACAGACCTTGCGGATTTCCGACGTGGATCGTTCGGCGAGGCTGATGCGTACCAAAACATCTGACGAACCCGTGTCGATCAGGCAGGTAGCGCGTATGTCGTTGAACAGTATATCCTTCATAAAACAGTTGCCCTTCGGGTATCTTGATGTCGGTTCAACTCGATATGTTTCGGCGGGAGGCGCAACCTTGCGTGGATTCACGGTGCACTGACCTCGCGAATGCGTCGTCGACTGACAGCCCGAACATGGTTTCCGTGGTTTCGGACAATCACGTGATATATGTCCTGTACCACCACAGTTGTAACATCGTACCGTGGACGTTTTCGGTAACTCGGATGAGGTCGTTGGACCTTCAGTTGTCGTTGCCGACGTTGACGGCGTCTTATCGGCGTTACGACGGGTATTGGTGTTTCGTTGATCGTACTTCGTTGTCTTCGCGGCAGGCACTACGTGTGGCCTAGCCGTCGTGGGAAACTGCGTCCGTCGCAGTTCGTACAAACGTTGCCATTCTTGCAGGTCGGCCAGCAGTGTTGCGGTAGTGCTGTGGTCCCTGCTCATGGCATAAACTGCCAATTCTTGAGAACGAATACCCATGACGATGTGGTCCCGCGTTTCAGTGAAGGTGAGATGCAAAGCTTGGCACAGACGGAGCTTGTCGTAGAAATAGTCAGCTATGTGCTCAGTTTCCCCTTGCAGACGTTCACTCAGCGCCTTCCATCGGTCCGTCATACGTAGTGTACGGACAAAGGCGGAACGGAACTTCACCTTAAAATCGGACCAATCCGTGAATACCTCCGTGTGGTACCAGCTACGGGCCGCGTTCGTCATGTTTGACTTCACGAACTGCAGTCGGTATGGCGTTGGCCAATTGTTTATACCAGCCAGAGCATCGACAGTGCTCAACCAATCTTCGGCGGCGCAGCTCGATTCGTGGCCGGTGAATTCAGGCACAGTTCGGTTCAGATCCGGCAACATTCGGTAATCGCTGTAGGAGTGTGGCACGGAGTTCTCGGTTTGCTGTGTCGGGGGCTGCGTCATGACAGGATTTCCCGCATTCTTTTCCAGCAACTCCAACCGCGACTTCAGCGACTGGGCCAAATTGAAAAGATCGTTGTACGTGGGAGCTTGGATGTGCTGAATGTTCATTGGTGGGGTATGGTCACCCATATTAAGATCGGTGTCGAAACGGCGGACGGGCGCACTCGCACGATCGGGCGTCGGAGCGGCGGACGGGCGCACTCGCAAGATCGGGCGTCGGAGCGGCGGACGGGCGCACTCGCAAGATCGGGCGTCGGAGCGGCGGACGGGCGCACTCGCACGATCGGGCGTCGGAGCGGCGGACGGGCGCACTCGCAAGATCGGGCGTCGGAGCGGCGGACGGGCGCACTCGCAAGATCGGGCGTCGGAGCGGCGGACGGGCGCACTCGCACGATCGGGCGTCGGAGCGGCGGACGGGCGCACTCGCAAGATCGGGCGTCGGAGCGGCGGACGGGCGCACTCGCACGATCGCGATCGAAAACAGCAGGCGAGATAACGTTACGTACGTTACGTGATGGGTTTTCCCGAAGTCACACACGGAAATACAACGTGACCGAACAGAAACCTCGTGACAAACGGGTCACGATTTCGGAGTTTCGGGTCCGTCGACGCACTCGGAAACACGTGTGAGGGGCCTTCGAGCTTATCCCACTTCTGAAATGTTAGCAACTTTAAACAACTAACGATCGGTAGCAGTTTAAAGTAAGACTCGGGTCAGGATTCTGGAAACTAGGTAAATATTTAGAACGAAGTGTGTGGTATTCGGCGTTTATTCTTACAAACGGCAAACTAGAAGAACATAATATTACAGTTTCTAACTTAACAACTTAGATTAACGGTCGTCGGGGACGCGGGACAAAGCGGTGTACCCGGTCGCTACGAAAACTAGAACATGACTCTCTTGCCGGACGTCCCGCCGTCGCGGTTGTCCGTGTATCCGTTGAGCGCGAGGCGCAGTGTGACCAGTTCAGGGCACACAGTGCCTCAGCCCTTACAATATACATTATAACTTGATTTGATTATGATACATTTCACACGAAAAAACATTTGTCGCTAACAAAGGTATTTCTTTTTTTTCATTCACACCCAAATTACGGGACCACAGAACGTACTTTACTCGAACGAATGTCGGTTTATATGTGCACGGTCGGTGGTTACCTACGCTGCAGCTAACAAAACAACAATGACTATTCAGCCTACATTACAACTTAAAATTATTATACATATAACAATAACGAGGACTGTCCAAATCCTTTCGAGACCCGGTGTCCAGAACCACGATTAAAGGTATACCTTTAATCGTGTCCAGAACCGACCAGACTTTGGATCGTACATTGGTACGAACAACCGCTTCATGGACCGGCCTTAGCCCGCCGTTCTTGCATACCTCCCTTTCTGACTCGCCTCTTCGCGAGCCGACATACTCGCAATAACGCTCTTTCTGCCTCGTACGCCGTGTGTAGACGCTTACCGGATGGATCGCGTCACCTTCCCTCGGCCGCCTACCTCACTCTCTCCTCGGCCTCCTTATCGCAGTCAGGAAGTTCTCCGCCATCGAGTACAACAGCCGAAAAGAGTCTTCAGCGTCCCTGAGTATTCTCATATTTTCTCCAGGGTCAGCAAGTAGACCCTCAAACTCCAGGCCACTCAAAATTAGTGGAACGTCCTCATATTTCGGTAAGCGGCCGAGAAGCCGGCCTAGCACCTCCCTCATACCGCACCAGTGCTGGCACTCAAACAATTTGTGAACAGCAATGTCGGCCTCGCCGTCACAGTGATCGCATCGTGCACCATGATTTAAGATAATACCTACAGTTATTATATTTTTTAAATTTTAAAGTGAGTTATGAGTATTTTAAGATGTACAAATAAATTGAAATGACTTATCAATTTTAAAATACTCATAACTCGCTTTAAAATATTAAAATATAATGAAAATCCTATGAGGTGGTTGCATACACAATAATCTTACCTTTGAATTTTATAATTTTTATAATTTTATAATTCACTCTTTAATTTTTAAGCTAACTCAGCTGTACGTGATCTGCTGAGCGTAAAATTTGGTATGTTACGCACTTGTAAGACATGTCACGGTATAGGTACCAAGCCCTCTTAAGTAATCTATTATAAATTACAATAATATAGCCATTATGGCATTATGCCATAAAATAAATTATAGAATAGTAAAATGGTAAAATTACATTCCTGCAACTATTTTATAGGTATTATAATTGATATGACCTACCCTCATCATTTTTATTTTATTGTTTACCGTGTTTGGTGTCGACGACGTGACGGTTTCCACTTGTCTGTACAGTTGTACAGTGAATACTGACATAACTGAGCGATTATGATATAAATTTTAGATTATACTCTGTTTCAAAAGAGAACATACCGGTCGGTGACCAATTTATGCCCGGCGGCGTGTCTCTCCCATCAATTTCCTATTGTTAGCGTGATCACGTGGTTCTCGACTCACCAATCGAACCATTCGACATTCGCAAAGGCGGTATGTTCTCTTTTGAAAAGAAGTATAGGTCCACACATACTGACAGATGTCCCGATGACCGGTAGATTTCAATCTAGATAATACAATTTTTTTTCATTATTTTAAGAAGAACATATACAATCTACACCTATAAACATAATACGAATATGTGCGATAAGAAGGAACAAATAACATGAATTAATAATTTGGGGAAAGAAGCCACCCACTGATGACAATTTCGACAAATACAATAGGTAATGAAATTTTCATCTAGATATCTAAGTCTCAACACTGGTCACTGAAACTAGCGATACTATCCTTTTGCTAAAGTCTAGTGTCTACAGAAACAGTATAGGTAGGTAATTACCTTAATAGATCCATAGGTTATAGGTAGGTAGTTACCAGTATACGTATACCTACTATGTGAGTCTATACTCCATTATAATATGACCATTGACCATACATGTAAATATGTATGTAACATCAAATATATTAACAATAATTCATAAAATGGGGGACGGAGTGGTCGAACGGACTAAGGCGTTAGTTGCGAAGCTCACCGACGCCTGTTCAAAACCCCTGCCGAGGGCGACATTTTTTCTTCGGGCAAGTTATGGTGTCCGGAGAGAAGTGCCGCCATTACCCCACCCGGACATGGCAGAACCTACAGGTGCCCACAAAAATCTGCCAAACTGTATAAACGTGTTCAAACCTACAGAACCTTCTCACACAATTAAAAACTACCCTATGGCCTAATGGGGGTTAATTTATGAAAAAAAAAAAACAAAAAATTCATAAAATATATAGGTATTTTATTTATAAACTAATTTATACACCACGCATAAAATATTATATGAATAAATCAAAAATACAATACATGTAGGTATAAGACATAGTGTTATATACCTACATTATATTGATGTCACTAATAATTTTAAAACAATAATGGTTATAGGTAACGATTACTATCGCTGATAAATAAAGTAATATAAATCGCATGCAACATCTATTTAATCTCAAATAATGATAATAATAATATTTTATTGAAAATATAAAATTTCTATTTTGTACACTATATTTTATACAAAATTTAATGTCGTTGACCTAATGCTCAAAACAGCAAGAGATCCACGCGCTTATTTTTTGGACGGATAACTGATAAAAATTTGCACGACGAATTTACCCGAACTGGGAAGACGTGAACGAAATAATATATATATATAAAATACCAGTATGTATACTTATATTTAAATACACAATACAAATTTTAAAAAAAACGAAAAGCAAGTTTAAACAGCAATAATTTTACCGTAGCCAAAACATAATTGTCTTATTATTATTATTACAACAAAACGTTTAAAGTCCGTTACACTTTCCCTATCGTACGTAACAATATATAAAAAAAAACACGTGGTTTAACACAATGATACAATTTAAAATAATAACCAAAACCCGTTAGGAAGGAAATGGTCCATTCCTATAAAATATTAAATCAAATTAAAAATAGAGTATAGGTACCTACGTATCTATAAACTGAATATTATTTTAATATTTACCATTATTATTAGGTAGGTACAAATATTGAAGTACATTGTATTTAATCTATATTGTAAATTAAAAGTACCTAATACCTATAATAATATTGTGTATAGATAATTTTTATCCGAGAACAAAAAAAAAAATTGCAATGTTGGTATGGGTACCTACTTTTTTAAATATGAAAACAACGCACTTATCCTAATATCCTAATAACCTACCCCCCGTAGGTTTTATCTATTAATTAGGTATTATTGTAAATAATAGTATAAAATACTTAAGTAATCTTATATTGCATAAAAAAAGTAGATGGTACTTAGATTTTTAATTAATATTAATAAATCACATTAAATAACAAAACAAACATTTAAATAATAGGTAGTTAAAAATTTATAATGTGGGGGGGTACAGAGCCCTGGGAATGTGTAAGACAAGGGTGGCTGACCCCATATAATAATTGTGAGTGAATAGGAAAAGAAGAAGAAGATAAGTTTATAATGATAAATAATCATAAAAATGTAATTCTTAGTAACCATTTACAATTTCTTATCGATAGGTTGGTAGTTGAGATACCTATATGAGGTATATCAATCAAAATAATATTATAATTACAATTATATTATTAAAACTAAATATAATTACCTATATACTTAAATACTTTGCTTAACTTTATATAGGTACAATAATTATAGAAAGAGAGGTATTTAATATCGAAGAAATCATACACACGTAAAATGTACCTAATATATTTTATATACATAAAAATATATATAAATGTGTAATGACTTGCCGCTTTTGGTGTATATAATAGCTTTGTGTTGGAGTGTAAAATGTGGCTTAGAATAAATTGACATTATTGTTAAGTATAAAATGTATAAAATATATATATATATATAATATTAATATATTATTTAGTTGAACAAACAGTATATATTATAATATTATATACCTCCATAAAATATGTGTGTCATATACCTACGTGATCGTCGTATAGACATGACCTTGTTTTGTTGGGGCGGAAAAAGGGCAGAGTAGAAAAAAAATCATGAGGAGGGCCGAGGTGTGTTACTGTGTTAATAGGTAGCGAGATGGACCGCGACCGCCAAAACCATGGTCAGGAACACTGTGCAACCTCCTATGACCACTGCACCGTTGCAAAGGTCCTGGTCGCACGTGCTGCAGTGTTCGATGCGTATGTTGGCTGGAGTGTTTATGGCGCATGGGCCGTCGTCACTCCGACTGTCCGACGCCCAAGCGCACGACCGGATAATCAGCAGCTCGCCGTTCACTGTAATTCACATTACAAACATCGATATTATTCTATAACAATTTATTATTATTGATTAGCTATTATTAAAATGATACAATATTACCCGAAGCAGCCCACATATTATATTTAAAAAAAAAGTATATAACACACACCCTTTACCGCATACGGTGCCAAACTCGTTGAAACGGAGTTAGGTAAATAGGTTTTAAAATATAATACAAGCGATTTTCAGAACATTTTAACGTGTTATCAATTGGTGAATAATGAGTTAACACGACCTATATCATATTATTATACCCTTCGAATAACATAATACATATAGTTAAAGTCATTCGATCGCCTTATATGTTTTCGATAATCTATTCCATAATATAGATAAAGGCAGGCCTGACCAGCGGAAAAATCAAAGCAATTGCTTATTTTAATATATCAGCGTACTTATAGTTAAATTAAAGAGATTATATATTTTTAGGTAGATTTTAGGTTGTGTACTTGTGTGTATGCACAATACAATACTTACTATGATAGTACCTACTTAAATGTATTTAGAATATTAGGACTTACCGTAAAAAAAAATGTACGCTGATCTAAGGAAGTTATAATAATGAGTAGGTATATACTCTATATTATGTAATATAGAGTATATACATACTTTTACCATTATTCTCATATAATACATATAGATAAGTATATTTATCGTGAGATGTCACCTGAGCTCTGCTCATAACCGTTTTTAAAATCAGAAAATTGGTTTAAATGTATAATAATTAATAAGTATATTATACAATAATATAGGTAGGTACTGGTTTAGTGGTTTGCGCTAGAATTGGCGATGCGAGACAAGTACCCAAACCGAGCTGTGTGTACTATTATTCATTTCCATAATTCTTGGTTTTTATTTCTTGCGCAATAGGTATATATAATATATTGTAAAAAACTGTATGGTCTGTATGGACATAAAGTTAGCTACCTATACATTCAACAATATTAGTGTCACCTTGATGCTATCACGTTTCTCATAAAATATTCAATTTTATGTACCTACCTAGTACCTACCTATTTATATACTTATATTAGTATAGGCAACAAAATAATAAATATTATACAAACAAATGTATTATTGTTTAAAAACAAAACTTAGGTATTTAATTATAGCAGGCGTTTATAGTAACGAATTTCATAGTAGGTACATTTACTTATATAGATTATACCTATAGATTATTAAATTAATTTAATAATACCGTCGGGTCACCCCACCTTGTTATGAATCGAATTATTTACAAGACATATGCACGGCACATCGGGAGTGTTGGGTGAATTATGGTTCATATGGACCCCAGTCAAATAATTTTATGAGGTTGATCAAGACGTTAGGTTATGTTAGGTTATATCCTACCTAATATATTGGAGCAATAACTTAATTTGTTGTATATTTGTATAATTGTGTGTATAAAGTATTCCTAAAAAAGTTGTCTAATTCATAAAGAACGTCATATAAAACAAAATTTGTAGATATTTAAGTAATTTTTTTGGCACAATATTTAAATGATGATATTTTACTAAATTAATATATTATAGTACACAAAAAAATATCGGTTGTTTGTTGTAACCATCTGATACGGTGGTAATAATAATTATAAAAACCAAAAAGTACGAAAATTAAAAACAAAACAATTTATTTTACTCTATAAACTACAAAGGCATTTCGTTTATTCTTTGTGCTTTCTTTTTACACCGTATAGCTTAACGGAAATGTAATATATTCATGATTTACAATAATTGATAATGGTTCTAAATATATTTGGCAATTTTATAAATTTGTAACAGATATCAATCCACTTTTTAAACCATCCAACCAATATTACGGAGAAAGCCGAGCAATATAATAATGTGCCATGAAGAAAATAGAAAACCTTCTTTATATATAAGCTACTTAAAAACCACCGTTTTACATACTTCTATTTTTTATATAATTACCTATTTATAATAATAGCCAGACGAATCGGCGCTTCGATGATATATTATGAATCAACAATAATAATGTACTATAGATATTAGATATAGGTTCATTTTGAACCTTTTTTGTTTCCTATATTATAGTAAATAATTAATTTAATACTACCTATGCCCTATATAATATAAATGGGTAGTTTGTTTATAAGTCATAACATTGAGGTAGATTATGTAGAATGTAGATAATATAGCTGATAGCTGTGATAGCTATATTACTATGATAGACTTTATAGTCCAATGTTTCTTAAACAGTGATATATTTTGATTATTTTAAAATTAATTTTTAATCGTACGTCCACTATTCAGCACCTGGATGGTTTGAGTAAACCCTTTAATCAGTATTTTCCTATAATGAGCAGCAGGTTGTTTTATATAAAAATTAATTGTGGATTAAAAGACCCTTTATAGTCAATGCACGACCTTCAGCCATGTCAGTAGAGGAATATGAATTTTTATTGAAATTACATCTGACTCGTCATTGTAAGAATAATAAATTTAAATTAATGCCATTAGTTGAAATTTTGGTTCATTTAAAAAAATGATAATATCAGAATAGTCGTTTACTTGCTTGACTTCGTTACTTGTAATAGTTATACGTTATAGATGATTAAAATCAAAACTATTATAGTTGTATAGTATATATATCAAAATATTAAACATAATAATAGGTACCTGTAGCCTGTTGTAGGTATTCGTACTTCTATCGTCTATGCTACTATATATGAATGCTTGAAAGTGAAATATGTTAACTTAAATTAAATTATTACGATCTATACTAGGGTGACCATATTTAAAAAAATAAAATACAGGACAAAAATATTATCATATTGTTATATTTTAATAATTTAATATATAATATTTTTAAATTAATAAGTATTTATTATATTTTTTGATGTTGTCCAATAAGATAACGCTTGTGAACGACATAGATATATTATTAGGCTATTATTAATATTTATTTATTTCGCAATATGCTCACATTTGATTACGAACTGGTCGGTAAATATACTATTATACTCCGGTTTAAGTCGCCGACAAAAATGTGATGCAACAATAATAACGGTAAAAACAAAAATCCAAAAATACAATTGAAAAGTATAGATTTTTATATTATTGTATTCAATAATGTCATTTTAAAAATTTCAAAAATTATATATATTAACAATAAGGCAAAAAACGGGATTAATATGGGACAGACTTGAAATTACGGGACAAAAAGCATCGTGAGAGAAGTTTGTCAGGACAACAGGACACAAAGCCGAAATAAAGGACAATCCTGTGTAAAACAGGACGTATGGTCACCCTAATCTATACTCATCCATAGGATAAGATATCTTATTTCTCAGCGATGGACTAGCTGCGAATACTATAAAGTTCAACTGTCCAAGGACGAAGACAAGATACTCGTTAAAGTCTTCTTCGACGATCTTACAATATATCGAGACTCGAGATTTATCGAATGAGCAATAGTTACAATATTTATTGGTTTTTTTTATTCATCATCAGTCATCAGTGTACTTAAATCTTAAAAGTGCACGTGTTGCCGATGCACTTCTAATAAGTGACCGAGATACAAGTGTTTTACAACTTATGATTATCATAACATTACGCATGACTTATTGTGGTCTCGACTCTCGACATGATACACATTATAATAATTAATAACCATTAATAAATTACGTAGCCGTGGAGATACACCACTTATAGAATAATAATTTGATATCAATAACCAGTTAAAGATTTATAAATATATTTAACATTGATATAATCATAGAATAATAATATAATATAGTATATATATGGTATAATATCTCTTGTTTGTGTATGTGTTATGGGCTATGGCATATGGGTATCATATCAGTCACTAGGTAATAGGTATATGTAAAACAATGCCGGTCGTTTACCTATTGATATAGTCATGAACACGATTTCGATGACAAACCGTTTTGGGGGGTGGAAAACAAAAATCGATTTTTGTACAAGTTATATAATATTATGTATTTATGTTATACCCGTTACCCTCAAATTATGCCAAGTCGCGTTTTCGAAACCCACCTGGGATGGAATAATAAAAATGTATAATATAATGATATCGATGAAAATAATAACGTAAACTACGAGCGCGTTGTTAACTGTTGTGACGCGATTTTACACGCGGTCGATGAGAACCGTTTCACGGTGTGAATTATGTTCGGTCTTATAATAGTGGTCGTGATGGTATATAGGTACATCAGTCTTCGGGAAGCGTGTGAATCGAAACCGCGTGTACATGCGCTTATATACATAATATATAGTAATATATACAATATACTATAAACGTAGCTGGTAGTTATAGACGTGATGTGGTAACCGGTAAGGTTACATATATTCATGGTGGTAGATAAACGGGGTGGTATATAAGGTATAGACGTGAATACGTGATGGTGGTAACGTGGTATCGCGGGGTAGGTGTATACGGTCGTAGGCGCGAAATTGCTCCGGTTTGAAGTAGCGGGCGGTGACGACGGCGACTCATCACCGTGAAATCGTAACGACTCGATGCCCCCTTAAATCCCGAGACGAATCGATTTGCCCGACGACGAAAACGCCGAGCGCGGGAATAACGAATAATAATAATAATAATAACAAATAGTAATAATAATATTACACGAGCGGAATAACGATACAAATCGAAGAGAATGGAGGGAAAAAAACCGACCGGCGAATTGCGAAACGGAGTAAAAAAAAAAACACAAATACCTATGCCTATATATTGCATTATATACACGTATAATATATACCCTCTTGGGAAAAATCATACCGATAACGGTGTTTATAAACACCGACGGCCGGGTAAAAAATCGGCCGCGGCGAAAGCGATATCCGCCGGTTCAAGTATACATACAAATTTATACTTGCATATAATATGGTACCTGTAATAACGACAGCTATACATATTATAGTCCCGAAACGGATGCTGCAGCAGGAAAATGGCGAAATGGTGAAATGGACCGAAATAATAACCGTTAAGTGCAGTTACACGGTATATGCGCCTCACATAATT